GCGCACCGAGCGCCGGTGCCAGGTCGGGTGGGTGCCAGGCCCCGCGGGCGCCGGAGTCCGCCGCTTGGTCTCTGTGGGTTTTCGCTCCCCAGACCAAGGCTCACTTTGCCCAGTCTGGCCAGGGTGCTGTCCCTGCCAGGGGAGGGCTACTGACCCCTTGCCAGGTCCCTCGGCCACCGAAGATCGCCTACCCAGCGGCCAATCCGGTTTCCTTTGAGCGGCCGAACCCACGTCGTCCCGGACCTTCAGTCCCCAACCCTGGGGCCACCACTCCAAATCCTGCGAGTCCAGCTTCTCGTCCACCGCCCCCACCCCTACCTAAGGACTCCTTTCGCAGACTTAATCTTCCTCTAAACCCTCCGTCGCCTGAGCACCTTCCTCGCCTGCCCAGTGTCCCTTACTCTTGATCCGAGGATCCTCCGCAATCGTCGCTCACCCCTCCAGTCAATCTTTGCCACCTCTGAAGCCTTCCCGGACCCTTCGTCCCAAGGCTGGACCCAACTCCCCTATCCCTGGGCCAGGATCCCCTTTGGCAAGTCCTGAGCCAGCAGGTCTCTCTTCCCGCCGGTCCCCGTCCCTCAATCCCGGCAGACAGCCCTCTTCGCGGACCAAACCGGCCTCAGGAAGGCGCCACCGCCCGGGGGACGCCAGCTCAGCCCGGTGCGTCCTACCTCGGCCAGCAGTCGGAGTCCCCGGGCGGCCACTCCTGGCCGGCGCCGTCCCCTGATGGAGCAGCTGCGCTCCCCGCCGTCTGCGCAGTATGGCCTCGCTCGGGGCCACTCCTCTCAGTGCTTTACAAAATATTAATAATAAAGAAGGCAAGAAAGAAAAAAGAAAGCCTTCATTCCCCAACTCCCAGATCAATTTTTCAAGGGGGTGGGGCAGAAGGATTTGTTAGGAGGGCGACCCAAACTTCTGCGAGGGGCCAGCGGGGCAAAAAAAAGCGCGGCGACGGCACTATTTGACGTGGAGCCGCCGGCTCATCCCGGCGCAGGGATACGAGGCGCTCCAATGAGTTCAAATGTCAGGAAGTTTGAGGAGGGGTGAGGCGGCTCCCGGCCGGAGTATCCCTCCGCCGCCAGCCCCAGCTCTAAACCGAGCGGCTCCTGCGGCGCACCATGGCACTGGAGT